CTCCCTCCCTGTTGCATAGAGCGATATGTGTAACTGCTCTCGAGAAAATCGCGAGTGCTTCTGTGCTGATAAAAAGTAAAACAGCTGTTGCGATGTGATTCTCTCTCTCTCTTTCTTCCTTGTCTCAGCAGTAGAACACCCTCTGACAGGGGTCGTATACTCCACCGGCGAGGCTTCTTCCTTTCTCCTTTTCTCCCCCCCCCTCTCTCTCTCTCAATTTCCCACATCCTCTCCTGCAGTGTCTCCCACACGCCGTGCACCGTGATACACTGCACAGTGCGCCAGTTCCTCACGATATCATCTTGCACTCGCCCCGTGCTGCTGCTACAGAACTGCTACAGAACTGCTACTTTGTTTGGACGCCTTCCCTCTTCCTCTCCGAACTGAATAATGTGTTGCAATATAAGCGGTGTCAACAAAGTGTCGCGTTACGCGGCCCCTCCTTTTTCCTGCGATTTATACCCCCCCCCCCTTTTACTCTTGTTTTCTTTTCTCACCGACTCCGGTGTATACGCTTTCATAAAAATCTCAACTATCACGTTTGCTTGCCATATCCCCCTAGTTTAATCCCCTCGATGCATGTGTATGTTCATGTTCCATCGGGTCTCCGATTTTTGTTGTTATGTGGTAGCGTCTTGCCTGCCTCTCCACCATCCACCAGCTTTGTCTTACTTGGTCCCCCCACCGCCCCCCAATCTGAAGAAGCTTCTTCCCTTCTTCATCGCCCAGATCGAAACGGATTCCCCCAGCCCCGTCTTTTTTACCGTCTTAACGCTTTGGTTCAATATATATATAGATGTAGGGCTCTCAGGGGCCTAAGGCCGCGCGGGCGGCAGGCGCCGCAGCGTGGCAGGCTGGAGAGAGATCGGGGTGAAAAATTGGTCTTCGCTTGATGACCCAGTGTGCGGGCGAAGGCAGCCAGGATCGATGACCTACATATCCGATGGGAAGAACGAAGTGCGTACGATGAAGAGAGGGAGGGAGGGAGGGAGGGGGTGAGCGAGAGAGAGAGAGACAGGAGACAGAGAGAGACACTGACCGGCGCGTCGCGTCGGCTCCATCTTTGGCGCGGCGGCGCAGCGCGTTCTCGTTACACGGACCGGCCGCCGATATGTCATCAGGACGACTGACCGCTCGCTGCTGCCATGCCCTCCTTCGGAAAGTGGTTTGTTCGAAATCGCAATAAACAACGAGAAAAACAAAAGGCATCGCACTCTGGACCCCCCCCGGGGCTATGGGGCGGCTCGCACCTAAAAAGCTGCATCAGTGGCACCCGCGGCAGTGCCGGCGCAGGGTGTTGTATGACAAAGGACACAAAGAGGACTCGGGAGAAGGAGAGAAGGGAAATTCTTTGGTCCCGAATGAATAGACGCGGAGTGGGAGTCTGCGCAAAACTTTAGCACTACGGACGTACCGTATACGTATCGCCCGGCCGGTTTTGCTGTATCGGCGCGGGGTGTTTCTCGAAAAGCCCTTGCGTGAGGGAAACTAGAAATGCGACACGAGCCGTCCCGCCGCCGCCCTGCCTGAGTGAGCGGCGGAGGCCGGTGATGAGGGAGACGGGGAGGAGAGAGCGGCTACCCCTAACGGCATTCAAATCCCCGCGCCTAAAACGTGTTGTTTTTGCGCGAGGAGGACGACGAGGGAGTTTGCGGCGGGTGGATTGCATGCGCGGCAGCGGCAGAGCCTCGACATCCGGGGTGGTTTTCCGCCGTATCTCGTCGGAGGCTGGGGGAGAGGGGTGGGGGAGTGGGGCGTATCTCACTTGGTGGTGGTGGGCCTGGTGCCCGCGCGGACTGCGGCGGGGTGCTGTGTGTCCCGGACCGTCCGGCTGCTCCCTCCCTGATGGTTATCGTCGGCGACGTGCTCGTCGAGGCCGAGACCCCCTCCCCCTTTCCCCTCATTAGGGTGCTCCGGGGGTATCCGCGCTGCTGGATTCATAAAGTACGTCACTCGTGATTACCCGGATTGAAAGGTGCGAAGGGGGAAAAGGGATTTTCAGAGGAGAGGAGGGAGCAGAGAAGAAGAAATCTTTCTCGCGCTCGAGTGATTCCTCGATGTGTGTTGTTGTCGACTATAGCAGGGTGGCTGCTGTGTTTTACGATGTATTTTTTTTTGTTATTGTTGTTGCCTCTGTCGTAGCCTATCTTGTCCCTTTTCGTTCGTCTTATTTCCCAGCGCAGCGGGTCGGCCACGTATTTTTTCGTATTTTTCCCTCTTTTGCGCTCATTCCCCCGCTGCGCCTGCAGAATAGAAGGAGAGCAGGGCCGTCGCCGATATCGCCTGCCCGGCCAGTCTAAGAATGAAGAAGGGGGCGGTCCTCTTGTGAGCGCGCATTCTTGTCCCTCGCACGGCCGCCCCGCCGTCCGCCGGCCCCGCCCCCGCCCCCGCGCTGCCAGCTGGATGGATATTCCCGGATATTCGTCGTCGTCGTCGTCGTCCGAGAGTGGCCCTTGAGACGCTCCTCCATATAATCCTTTGACCTCGGACAACAGGCTGCCGCTATGAG